TTAGCTATCTAACTATCTAACTATTTATCTATCTTTTCAACGCTATGTAGGGCCGTTTTTTTGGCGATTTTGGCAGACGAGCGATCGGGGAGAAGAGAACAATTACAATTTCATTGTTAACCACAAATTTTTCTTTTTTTTTCCTTTTTTTTGCTGCTATTCTTTTTTATTAGAATAACAATATCAACAATAATGATAACGATAAAAAAAGAATGAGAAAGACGGAAAAAAGAGAAGAGAAAGAAAAAAAGCAGAAGAAACACTCGAGATATATCTTTCGTTGATATAATAATAATCCAAGATGGCTTATAAGATGTCTGGTTAAGTGGAAAAAAATAGCATAACAAAACAAGTTGTCGATACATTGGCAAAAACACCCACAAATTATCAACATCATCATCATCATCATCATCATCATCATCATCATCATCAGAATTGCTTTCAAAATAGTTTTTTCAAGCACTGCATTTGAATCGCTTCATTTAAATACAACAAACCTCATTCTTTTCCTTTAAAAAAATCTTTTCTTTTTTATACTCAAGAAACACTTTTTATGTTTAAAACCAATTAAATGGCACCACACCACCATCAGCAGCAGCAACAACAACAACAATAACAACAACGACGACAACAAAAGCAATAACAACAATAAAAGTACTGCTTTCCTAGTGTCTATCTATCAGTATATATTTGTATATATAAATATATTTATTCGTATATACATTTGTGTATATTTATGTATTTGTATAAATGAGTGTATGAGTATGTATGTATGTATGTATGTATGTATGTCTATATGTGTCTCGCTTGTATGTATTATGTTAACCATAAAATCCAAATTAAGACTTTTCTCGATGACTGCCAGCAATTTATGGTCCAGCAATTAAAAAAAAGCACGAATAAGTATGATATATATATATATATATATATATATATATATATATATTTACTTCAGAATAAATTTATGTTTACAGAAAAAGCAGAAAAAAAAAGACAAAAAAAGAACCGGCTTAGTTTAATGAGGTGTTCAAACAAATTTGATGTTGTCGTTCAGAAATACAAAATGTTTCCTCGTTTCTTTCTTCTCTTTTCGTCTATTTCTTTTTCGTAGCAACAGGTACGTTGAGTTAAAAAGAAAAAAAGAGATCGTATAAAAAGAAAATGAATAAATAAATAAACAAAAAAAAATTTTTTTTAATATTAAAAAAAAAAGGAAGGAAATTTTTTGTCCTCTCTTTTTTTACCATCAGTTCTTTGTTGTTGCTATTTTGCTGTCCTTTTTTTTTCTTTTTTTTTTTTTTTGCACTCCGTTAAATTTTTGTGAGCATTTTATTTGTTCAGTTTTTTCAACTGCCATTTCCTTTTTGCACAACGCTCATTTACACATGATCCAAATTGATGAACATTAAAGAAAAAACACAAAAAAAAAAAAAAAAAAAAAA